TAGAGAACACCAATTTCTTTTCAAAACTCTTCCAGGCATTGCAGTATATGGTATCATTGAATAACCACTGATTTTGCATGCTAGGAGAAGAGAAAGTCATACCTCACTTGCTGTCACCTATGGAATAGTCAATTTAAAGGGAGGGGATAAAAGACAGCAACTAATTAGGAGGGAGGTCAAAAGCAATTGTAGGTGGCTGTGGTACTTTGAATAAGAGTGCGTCCAACAGACTCATAATTTGAATGTTTGTCACCAGAAGTAGAACTGTTTGAAAGGATTACAAGGACTAAGAGGTATGACCTTAATGAAGGAAGTATGTCACTGGGGGTGCGCCCTGAGTTTTGCAAAACCATATTCCAATCCCAGTCTCTTTCGCTCAGCCTGCAGATCAGGACATAGCTCTCAGTTACTATTTAAGTGCCATGCATGTACAATGCTCACCACCATGATGATAATATTCTAAACCTTTGAAAGTGTACTCAAATCTCCAATTAAATGCTTCCCTTATAAGAGTTACTGTGGTGATGGTGTTTTTCACAGCAATAAATCAGTGACTAAGACAGTGGTCAATAGACCGTATTGTATATGTATGAAGAGTAGAAAATATTGAGGATTCACCAGAGTTGGTTTAATAAGAAAATATTGTTATGTGCAGGCAGAAATTATGTGTGTGGTAACACGGAGGAAAAAAAATTGTTTAATTCAGCTTTTAAAAAGCCCATATTCTAGGGATAGACTAAAGAGAAACTCAGAACTCCTGGGAAAATAAGAGGCAGAAAAATTTGACATAGTAGTGCTTGTGACACAATACCCCCCCCACTATTGCTGTCCGTTCTTCAGTTTAAATGTTAAGGTTTACTGATAGTTAAGTCAAATTTCAGAATTTTTACTGCATGTGCACCTCTGTATTAAGGTTACTTAACATGGGATTTAACATGGACATTGGCAACTCAGTCTTCAGATCTTCTTTTGGATGTGCTCTAAACCCATGTGACTTCAGAGTTTAGCAGCTACAGGGATGAGACCTTGAGAAAGACCTAGATAAGATAATGGCCTAAAAGTCTTAAATTCAACAGCTAGATGCTACATTGTCAAATTACTTATATTAGCCACAGCTTAAACAGCAGACAGAGGCTGATTATGGTTGCCTTTCTCCAGGTTTATAGGTTTGGAGATGATCCCATGTCCGGCCTCACTTAAACTCAACTTTCAGTTATTTATCAGTGACATTTACAATGCTTTGAACAATGTTGTATATTCAAGCTATTATACTTGTAGGTATCTCCTTGGAAGTGTGATATTGTCAATAAATTCTTAGTCTGTGTAATAAATTTCCATTCTTTATTACACTATCACATCACAGCAATTCTTCCTGGATGTCTTTCTGTGATATGATTTGTTGTTGGTAGTGTTGTTAAACTATTAAGTAACAAGTTATGTAGCTGGTAATGAAAATTTCCATGTTTGTTCATTTATATATGTATGAACATTTCATAAAATGCAAAAAATATTAGGATTGGAACACTAAATATTTTCCATCTCAGCAGTTTCATAATATCAGCTCTTTTGTAATAATTTAGACAAGCAATTTTCTCTAATCAGAATTAGATAAAAGTGTAGCTGAATGCCAAAAAGAGATGCTTCTGGTGTCATCTTCCTAAGGCCTCCATCTACAGTCCTCACTGCTTCATTATTGAATAAAACTTGTTAAAATACTATAACTATATATACATTATATCTTATAAACTACTTGTTATTTTTCTAGCATCCTTCAAGTAAAAGTGCTCATTTTTATGTTTTAAGTCTGTGAAGGTCACACGTGAAATATTGGCATAGACCTTCAAAGGGCTGAGAATGCTAGGCATGGTTACTCTTAGACATATACCAGTCAAGTTTTGATCTCACGTGCTTACTTACTATTTGTTGCAATGAGTAGATGCAGATCAATATTACTAAGAATATTTATGAAGGGTTAAACATAATGCTTGGGAAACTGGCTGTTCCAAGCTGTACTGTGTTTTCTTCATAATTGTTTGTAAGTCTGACTTTAGTTCCCTTGTTCTGTGAGTATTGCCTGAGTATCATCAGTTTTCAAATGGGAGCCAGGAGACATTTCTGGTATCCAATAAACAACGTAGTATGAAATAATAATAATAGTAAGGTGATTTCTGAGCAAAAGTAGGCTTTCTTTAATAGGGTTTTCTAACATTCCAACACAAACACTCACTAGAATCAGCATACTTCCTGGTGACAGTGGAAAATCTTTACATTACCTAGGGTTATCTTTCTGCTTCATGTCATTCCTCCAAGTGGAGGACTGTGCAGCTCTCTGGGACAGTCAGTTTGCACAGCTCACACATGAATGAACCAAGAATAGAATGAAAGTGAGTTGCATATTCTAGTCTGGTTGTATAGATATCTACATGGCAATGTAGTCTGAATGGTGAATTATTGGTGCCTCACATCCTTTTGGCTTTTAATAGGCTTTCACCACACAGATATTTTTCTTTTTCTTTTTTGCTTAAAGGATAAATAATCTAATGTTAGATTTTTTCATCCTTCTGATGAATTACAACTTTTTTAATGATCTCTTTTATTTGAAGCTTAGTATATCTGTTATGCAATATTATGCCTGGAGTTTGAATTTCAGGATTTTTGCAGGACTACACAAGTGAAATTGCTTTCTGATGTTTTTATTTGTTTTGTTTTTAACCTGTTCACTCTAAGCTTCAAAATATTTGAAAGCCTCAATGCAAACTTAATTCTGTCACATGTAAGTGATATACTTATTAAAATAAGTTCTTTGGAAGTTTTATGTTGATAAGCTCAACATTTTTTTTGGTTTTACAAGACAGGGTTTCTCAGTAGTGTTTTGGAGGCTGCCGGTGTAGCCCAGCCTCGAACTCACAGAGATCTGCCTGCCTCTGCCTCCCGAGTGCTGGGATTAAAGGCATGCACCACCACTGCCCGGCAAGCTCAACAGTTTTAAAATGTTGTCTGTTTCCCTAACAGTTCACCTCACTGTTTATGTTTGGCTTTAGGCAATGGTTGGCCAAATATAGTAATTTAAAAAAACAGGAGGAATCATTTCTATTTGGTATATTTTTTGGTTGTGAAACATAGAAATAAACTGATCAAAGCCAAAGCTGATAAAGATTTTTAGATGAAAATCAGTTGTCAAGAATATTGTGCCTGTGTAATCTGTTAAAAAAGAAGACATCTCTGTTTGAGAAATGGAAAAGATACTAATCCCTGAAAACATCTTTTTAATTTGGCAAATTTATTGACCAAATCCTAAAAAAAAGTCACCAAAGAGAAGAAATATGCGTAAATTTTAAACTCATGGTCAACACTCCTATAGTCATGGTTAAAAAAATACACATAATTTAAATGATAAATAATAACAGAAAATTAAAATAATTTGGCAATAATGTCTCTTTAAATGTGAAGAGCTGTCTTGATTGAATTTTTCCTTTACCATGGCAGATAAAATGTTCTCATTTAATACAGAGTGTAACTTCAATTCTAAGTGAGAATAGTACTTGAATAGAATGATGTTGAAACGGAAATGCATGTTTAGTACCCTATCTGGCTTTAGATTCTTTGCTTTGTAGTCTGTTGGGGTACATAAAATGGCTTCATTTCATCCTGACTTTAGGTCAGAGAATTCAAAACAATCCTTAATTTTCCAAGGTTAAAGTCACAAGACCTAAAGTTCTAAGGCATGGTTATTGTAGGATGGTTGGTCTTAGGCTTAGACCTAACAAGAGACTTGGTCTAAGGTGCGGTTGCTTTTTACCCACAGGGTCAGGCAAGGAGAGAGTTAGTCTACTGAATGTTTTGGAAAATTAAGGAAGTAAGTCTGTGGTTTTCATTGTTTCTTGATAAAGAAGTCTCTTTTCCCCCCTTTCTTTTAGATATATTAGAATATTGAAGAATATACTTGGGTTTCAGTATTCACTGGGTTGCCCTCCTGACTCTATTCTATGTTTCCATCTTTTCCTTAGTATCTTTACCTTCCATTTCCTCAATCCATACTCCTCTTCTTGGGTTAGAAATAGGGCAAGTTGAGTGGATCTTATTGAAACCCCCCAAAGACTGGTTCCTAGAGTAGTTATTTATAATTTTAATAAAAATAATTTATAAAAGTATTTTATTGTAAATTTAAGAGGTTAGAATTAAATTGTTATTAATTAAGGCTATCTACAGAAATAATCATTAAATACCTTACAAGGTATTTTAAGAAATTTAAAAATTCCCTTAATAAATATTCTCAACCTCATAGCTTCATCTTTTTTCGAAAATAAAACTACTCAAATTGAACCAAGAGCTACCTCAGGGAAGTATCCACAGTGAGTTTGAGAATTATACCAGAACCCTAATGACAAATAAAAAATCATGTGACTGATAGCTGCATCATTAGGCATTTGGATGATGTTACTTTTCTTTTTATGTTTATATGTATTTGTATATGAGTGCATAAGTATATCTCTGTGCATATGACAATGGAGGCCAGAATAGTGTTGAGTTCCTTTGCAGCTAAATTATAGATAACTGTGAATAGCCAGATATGGGTTCTAAGAATAAAACACTTATTCTTTGCAAAAGCAACAAACATTATTAACCACTGAGCCATATATCCAGCCCCCATTATCTCCTATGAGAGAGGATTTTAAAAATGATTGCTATGTATTTAGTATGTAGTTACTAATTCCCACATGGCTCTGCCTTTACTACAAGATCATTCGGTCTTTAATTCTTACATTGATATATATTTCTCATGTCACATGATATGTTTCAAGTAAGGATACCACTAAGTAATTTTTGAAACAAATTACTACCTTAGTTTCATTTCATTCCACAATTGTTAATACTTCTCTATTAACCATGGGACACACAGAAAACTATTGACAGATTCCTACATCATTATTTTGAAACCAGGTAGGAACATTCCACACATATGAATATGGTTTATGTTATACCAACCACAAAATAATATATTTCATTTTTTAACATTTTTTCTTTTATTGATAAAAATTACACAAAAGCTAAGTAATAATTAAATTTAAAAGCAACATTACACATAATCTTGACAGTTTCACCCACTGGATCTCTGTTCATTGTTCACAGAGACCCTCTCTCTCTCTGCCGAGGCTAGTTCTCAGGTTCTTCTCCACTCAAGGTGTTCACAGATCTGGTTATCAATTTTCTTTCCATGCTTGACACCAATGGAGGAATAAATCAGGCCTCCTGATACTATCTATAATGTGTACTGAAGGAATGTACACTTTGATGTATTTAATTCATTCCAATAGTTTATTGAATGCTGTTGTCAATTTTCTTTAGGTCAGTGCAAAACCAAATCTTATTTTGGTACCATGTATGTACTCATATTTAGAAGTAGAAAGGCATTCCATCAAGAAATTAACAAAAAATAAACAAAAGAATAAAACCATATTTTAAAGGGAAAACAAACTAAAAACATAGGAAATAAGGTCTGTGAATATTATGCACACCTTACAAGGAAAACTGCATAGTTTCCCCAAAATTCCCACCCTCCCCCCTGTGGTTCTTCAACCCAGGAACCATGCAGCGTAGAAAAATCAAATATACAAACAAACCTATAGATAGCTAGAGTGAAATCTATTTTTATAAGAACTTAACACTCTTGACTATTTACATCCAGGAGAACCTGTGTTTGTTTTATGTTTTAAAGCACAGAAAGTTTTATGTTCTCCCAGGTTGGTGGCAGGTTCACCAGCTGCCCAATATCATAAGCAGTTTGGCTTGTTGTTGTTGTTATTTTTTCTCTCATTATGCTCTAAACTTCTGTACAGGAACAATGAACTCTTGAGGCTGGAGGATGCTGGACACCTCATATCCTTTGTGATGAAGGTCTCCCTTCTCCATGTGAGCTCTGAATTAAGGAGTTGGCTTTACTGTTAGTTTGTTATTCTCTCCAGATAAATGGCAGGTGCAGCCGACCTGGCTATGGTGGCGATGAAGCTGTGGTCTCTCCCAAGCTCCAAGCTGGCGCTATCGTCCTGGTCTATGGATACAGCTTCATAGGCCTTGTTGATGTGGAGAGGCTGGTGGGCTTGGCAGTACCCAATCACTGGTTGGTCGTAGCTATAATATGGCAAGGGCTTCACGTGGTGGGGTATCTGTATGTGAGAAGCAGAGATAGTGATTGGTTAGTGATAAACTTTAAAAAGAGAAGTCCCCTGACTCTGTTTTTGTTGCCCATGCTGAGTCATCTTCCACTGCTTGAAATCTGCAATTTTATAAATTATGTTTGTTATTTTGGTTACCATAATTACTATGTACTTTTCAGGTAAATTATATAAAGTATTTTCAATTCCACTTTCATTTGGCATATTAATATAAAGAAGTTAAGAACAACCTAAGTATCTATGAACATGGGTGACATAAATTATACCTATGGAGGGCAGCTGTGCTTACCACTATACTGTCAAAAGCACTCCACAGTCTACATCTGAATGCACATGTTATAAAAACAGAGGGGATCTGTTATAGTGTGGCATGATAGGTCAAGTCCAAAATAATTATCTAAGCATTTCCATGTGGTCTTAGCTTACTGGAGAATGCTCCAGCATGTTATTCCTTCAGTGACTACATATCATCTCTTTGCCTTCTACTCTCTCTAGATTTCCCCTGATATGGGTAGCCCCACCTATACTTCCTGCCTAGCTACTAGCCAATCAGTGTTTTGTTCATCAACCAATAAAAAACATATATACAGAATGACATCCACCTTTATCTCAGCACATCTTGCAGGAGGGATGAATTGTAGGTCAAAGGTTTTGTAGCTGTGTTCGTGTTCCAGTCCCTCCACTGGAAGTCTGGCATGGTTACAGAAGATGGCTGGTTCAGGGTCTGTAGTTATCATTACTAGGAGTCTTTGCTAGGGTCACCTTCAGAAATTCCAGAGAATTTCCATTGCACTTGCTTTCTACCTCACACTGGAGATGCCTCCCAATGCCAGTCATCTCTCCCAGTATTTGCTCACTCTGCCTCTCTGCCCCTAGATAATGCCCTCTGTTACCATCCCCAATCAATTCAGTTCATCCATGCAACCTATTTACTCTTCCCAGGGAGATCCATGTGCCCCATCCTACACCCTCCTTCATACTTAGTCTCTCTGAGTATGTGTATTGTAGCATGATTATCCTTTACTTTACAGCTAATATCCACTTATATGTTTGCCTTTTTGGGTCTGGGTTACCTCACACTGGATGATTTTTCCAGTTTCATCTATTTTGCTACATATTTCATCTTATTATTTATTTATATTTTAACAGTGGAACAATACTCCATTGTATAAATGTACCATGATTTCTTAGATTGAGAGACAGATATGTTGTTTCCAGTTTCTGGCTGCTAGGAGCATTGTTGAGCATGTGTCCTTGTGGTAGGGTGGAGCATCCTTTGGTTATATGCCCAGGAGTGACTTACAAAGTGGCTGGACAAGTTTGCCTCCCACCCCACCAGCAATGGGGGAGTGATCACCTTGCTCTACATCCTCTCCACCAAGAACTGTCACTTGTGTTTTTGATCTTGGCTATTCTGACAGGTGTAAGATGGAATCTCAGAATCATTTTGATTTGCATTTCCCTGATGGCTAATGATGCTAAGCATCTCCTTAATTATTTCTCAGCCATTTGAGCTTGCTTTGTTGAGAATTCTCTGCTTAAGCTGTTTAAGTCTGTATCCCATTCTAAATTGGGTTATGAGGTGTGTTTGTGTCTAATTTTTGACTTCTCTAATTATTTTTGAATATTAGCCCTCTGCCAGATGTGGAATTGGTAAAAATATTTTCCCATTGTGTAGGCTGCCATTTTGTGCTATTAATGGTGTTCTTTGTCTTACGGAAGCTTTCCAATTTCATGAGGTGCCATTTATTAATTGTTGATCTTAGAGCCTATGCTGAAATTTCTCTGTTTAGAAAGCCATCTCCTGTGCTAATGAGGTCAAGGCTGTTTCCCACTTTCTAGTCTATCAGATTCAATACATATGATTTTGTGTCAAGCTTTTTGATCCACTTAGAATTGAGTTTTGTGCTGATTGATAAATATGCATCAATTTGCATTCTTCTACATGCTCACATCCAGTTTGACCAGCACAATTTTATGAAGATACTTTTTTTTCCATTATATATTTCTGCCTTCTTTACCAAAAATAAGATGTCCATAGTTGTGTGAATTTATATCTGGGTTTTAGATTCAACTCCATTTATCAGCCTATATTTTTATAATGACAATGCCATGTGATTTTTATATCTATAGCTGTGTACTAGAGCTTGAGATCATGAATGGTGTTACTGATGTATTCTTTTATTTTATGGAATTGTTTTAGCTATCATGTTTCTTGTTTGCTGGTTTAGTTTTGTTTTCCTGTTGTTCGTTTGGTTTGTTTTTTTTTTCATAGGAAGTTGAGTATTGTTCTCTCAAGGTCTGTAAAGAATTGTGTTGGAATTTTGATGGGGATTGAGTTGAATCTCTAGATTGCTTTTGGTAAGGTGGCCATTTTTACTGTGTTAATCCTACAGATCCATGAGCATGGGACTCCCTTTGGCAAATGGGAGCCAGTTTCACAAGTTTTTAGTAATGCTGGATTTTGTCTAACCATCAATAATCATCCTAAAGTATAGGTTGGGCCTAAACTCAATTTTTTGGTGAATCACAATGCCTCCCCTTTCACGTACTCTTTGAATCTGACACTGAAGCCTTGTGTTGATGATAAGTGACTGCTGATGATAAGTGACAGTGTAGTTTCTTTTGTGACTGCTTCTCAGATGAACTTAATATGTCATTGTCAGGTTTCAGGAGTGTTGGAACAATAGTCAAAGGCTGGAGATCACGGAAGCACATCATGCAATGGCAAGGGAATTGTTAGTGGCATCTGGTTTACTGACCCAGCTTGAAGAGGAAGAGAGTAATCACACTGGCTGAACTGCTTTACATTGAATTTTAGCATATCCAGATCTTGCTGGTTCTGCAGACCAACTGATAATGGTGAAGCCCAGGCTAATTTAGAGCAGTTTGCAAAGCTGTATTTGACTATTGGATGATGTTTTTCAGCAGAGTAGAAACTTTTGGGACAGATATATACTAGAGGCAGGAGGTGTAGTTAAGGAGCTTAGGAGAACACCTTTATCTTGTTGTATGCTTGAAACTTCCAGGTTGTGCTGCTGCATTTTGGCAACAGATGCCTGTGAAAAGCATAGTCAATAAATTAAAATGAACACTCCATGAGAGGAACAGGGGAGTTTATTGAAAACTGACAGGCTGTCACTTGGGAAATCAGTGAGATGTGAGATGTTGAAAAAAAACTCAAGTTTTATAAGGACAATGGTTATCATGGATGAGGGGAGCCTATGAAGTGGAAGGGAGCTTTGAAATATATTAGAAGTACTTGTAAGTAAGGGCTGAGGGATCTGGAGACTAGTATGGACTTTGACATGATGATAGGTGCCACAGGTATATGTCAACTGGAAAGCCATATGTCCGTTTTTCCAGAGCTCAGGGAAATGTCTTCTTTTGGAAGATGAGGACAACTTTTACAAGTTCCTGAGGAATGCTAGCTTTGATAAATTGACAGGTTGAGCTGAACCTTGACTCAATTTTGGACCAGCTAATGGGCCTGCTATTTTTTTGTGTGGGGATGGGTGCGGTACCCTTTGGATGTGACACATTGCCTCTGTAATAACAGATTAATCATCACTTAATTAAGGAAAGATCAGGAAAAGTCAGAAGTAAGGACTGTTGGGACCAGTAAGATGGGGATGGAGAGAATGGGGAAAACAGGTGATGACCTAAATGAACATACATACACATAGGCACACAAAATAAACAAAAATGTAATTGTAAAAATTACAAAGAAGTTAAGTGTGTTATAAGTATAAAACTGTTACAATGATACCCATTCCTTGTATGCTAAACAAAACATTGCTTTTAAAATAAAAGACAAAAATTAGGTCTCTGTAGTTTACTTTTTTTTATAATATACAGTGTCTATGTTGCAATTTTCACTGGGATAAAACCTGTCTTGGAGTGAAGCTCTTAAGACACGGGATGTTCTGAAGGGAAGTCAAACATTCCATTCTTCAGGGAAGCTCATTAAGCACAGGAATTAAACAGCTCAAAGTAGCTTCAGGGTGTCCCTTAAACTGATCAGATTCTCGAGAATCCCTACCTTTGCAATCACACATAATTAGTAAGGACTTCTGAGGGACATTCCACAACCAAAGACAAGCTACCTAGAAGACACTTTAAGAAGTACCCTCTAAACTATTGTGTCATATATCCAGCCCCATTTTTATTTCTTATCCATTCAGATGTCTCTCTACATGCCAGAAAACTGTCTAGGCATGAGCTGTTTGCTGTCATTTCTGTTTGGGGAAATGCTGTGGGATTTTTGAAGTGTGTCAGATGGTAGAGGAATGATTGGTGTCTTGGGTCAACACAGCTCTGACAAAACAGAGAAATGGAAACAGATACTTTATTCAGGGAATTAAGCAGGGAGAAATATTTTGGAAATGATTTTCCTAAGAATGCCATAATCCTTTCTCCCTTTTATCATTAAAAGGTGGAGGATAACTTGAAAATATTATTAAAAAATCAAGTAACTTCCGAGTACAGAAAATTTTACAGAGCACAGCATATTTATTCTTTATTCTCTCTCTTTTTGGGTTACCATCTTTAAATTCAATTCAATTAAATTTAAATTAATTTTGTGTTCCACAACATAGGTGTGGAAGTGAGAATATAATTTGCAGGAGTTGCCTCTTGTCTTTTACCATAGTGGCCTATGCAGATCACATCCAGGTACTCATATAGACAGCAAGTGCCTTTCCCTGCTGAGACATCTTGCCAACATCTTGCCCTCTGTACAATTGGTTCATCTAAAGATGAAAACCAGCAGCTCATGTGTTACCAATGTTGGATGTTCCATGTTTGTTTGAAGTTCTTCTGTTTAAAATATTACATAAGAGAACAATTTCATGAATAAAAATCATGATATTAAACTTCATTTTGACTCAAGGGAGCCTTATTAACCACAGACTTCTGGATGTATATATCATCTGAACTCAGGAAATTTGTTTTGCTTTTACAGTTGGACTGTTTTTTTTTCTTATAGTAAG